AAGTATCTAAAAGCCATACTAAAGGAGACTTCGCGTCTCTACCCATCGGCACCCACCCTAGCACCCCACGAGGCGATCCAAGATTGCCAAGTAGGCAGTTTCCACGTCCCAGCTGGGACCCGCCTACTTGTGAATGTGTGGCAAATACATAGGGACCCTCACACTTGGTTACAACCAGAGGAGTTCTATCCTGAGAGGTTCTTAACTAGCCATAGTGAGGTCGATGTTCATGGCCAGCATTTCGAGCTGCTGCCATTTGGTTCAGGGAGAAGGTCGTGTCCTGGAAGCTTGTTTGCTCTTCAACTCATGCATCTTACGCTCGCGACCTTGTTGCATAGCTTTGATTGGGCCACTCCTTCGGGTAAGGCTGTGGACATGGCTGAGGGCTTGGGGATTACACTCCCTAGAGCCATTCCTTTAGAACTCATAGCAAATCCTCGTCTACCTTTCGTGTTGTACGAATGAGAAAATCAATGGATACATTGGCTCTTAATAGAGTAAAATGGCAAACCACGATTCATGTAGCCGACCCCAATTAGTTGAAAAAAAACTTTGAGAATGATGACGATGACGATTGCCTTGTTGATGTTATTAACATTTGAGGATGGAGCAAATGTTTCTTTGTAATCAAGCCCATATCCGTTGCAATTGTTTGTGATTCATAACCACATGCATCGTGCTTAACATCATTAACCTGCACACAAACCTAATGCTGTTTATGTATTTTTTTTTTTAGTTTTATTTTTGAATTTTTGTGCTCTAGCATACTCTCGAGGGCTTACTACCTCAGGCAAAACGAATTAATTAAGAGGATTTTCTTGATCCCAAACTTTTGGTCCAATTTACAGTCACTAAAAGAACATTTTCAAGGAAAGATAAAGTAGATTTTGAGTTTTTAAGCACTTGGATATGGCTATCCAAAATTGTGTTCACAGTCCACATTCAAGTTTAGGATTTGATGCCCATTAGAGAGCATGTGATTATTTATTGAATGATTGATTGATTTAATAATAATAATAATAATAATAATAATAATAATAATAATAATAATAATAATAGTAATAGCAATAGCAATAGCAATAGTAATAGCAATAGCAATAGCAATAGCAATAGCAATAGCAATAGCAATAGCAATAGCAATAGCAATAATAATAATAATAATAATAATAATATTATAATATTATTATTATTATTATTATTTACATTTTAGAGTTCGATCAATAGGTTTAGGAGGTTCTATCCCCATATTTTGGGCTGTACAAAATACTCCTAGGTAGGATTTTACCTGAAGAAATGAAATGGATGCATGAAATGCTCCCGAGGGAACATTTATCATTTGGCATAAAACTCTAATTGCCAAAACTTAGGGAGAGTAATTCATCCACTCATTTCACTCATCTTATAGGTGTTACTTCAAGTCTTCATCACTTCATGTCACTCATCTTATAGGTGTTAACATTCCTTACTACAGTTGAACAACTCAAGACATTTGTAATTTCAAAACTATTTTATTAATTTTGATAGGATTATTTATTTTAAATATATAAGTTGATTGAAAATAACCGAATACCCCAAATAAGGACATATGCCTCGTTGTATTTCATAAAAATATAAATCATTCAATTTGTATGGGGTGCAGTTTGTATAGAGCTGAGGCTCTAAACAATCAAATTAGAGCCCACCTTCAAACAGTGTCGAGACATATGGTTTCAATATTGTAAATCTTTGATTAGCCTTTAAATATATGTTTATCTTTAATTATAAAATTTAAAGCTTCAAAAATAGCGTAGATCGAGCAGATCTATGAAAACTTGAATAACTTAAAAATTGACGGTAAAAAATGCCTTATCAGATGCACTATTTCCAACACTTGAAATCCATTTTTTTCTCAAGTCCATGCATCTTGATGTCGAGATGATCAATTTGACGATATTTGGGCATCAAAATAACCTCTTCTAGTAAATTTTTTGAGATAGGCCCTAATTTGATTGTTTAGAGTCTAGGCTCTATATAAACTTTTCCCATTTATACAATGCTCGTAGATACGGTATGGGACAACTCTATAAAAGGTTCAAT